TTTTATCCTGGTTCACCACAACGTGTGGCTAATCCAGCCCCCCGAGAGACTCTCTCGAGCTACACTAACTCCGTTAAGCTTAAGGGTGCTTAACAAACCGATACAACTTGAGAACCCGAGTCACACGAGCCTCAACACCTTTGCTCGGAGATACCACACTCCAAGACTTCTCACGAAGGAACAAGGAACTTCCTTCGAGTTTACAACAAGGGAACAACCTCCCTTAAAGTGTATGAAAACACTTAAACACTCAGGAATAAAACTCTCACAAAGAGTAGATATGAGTGAACTAGTAAACGCTCAAGAACACGACAATTTCTTCAAGAATTGGCTCTCAAATAGCTAAGAAAAGTAGGAATGCTTATGCAATGAATGAGTATTGAAATTTTGAAGAATTGTGTTTCAAATGAGAGGATTTGGGTGCCATTTTATAGCCCAAAATGGGATAAACCCGTTGCTAGAATTTCCAACAGGATGAAGACAAATTTTTCAGGGACACAGGCTGATAGTCGATTGTCAAAGCATGATAATTGATTATCCAAAGATTCCCTGTCTAAAAATTTAAAATTCTATCCGTTGGAGGACAACGGTAACCCAGATAATCGATTGTCAACAAGTGATAATCGATTATTGGTCCTCTTAGAAGATTCTGGGTTTTGGCTGCAAAGACTGATAATCGATTATTGCAAAGCTGATAATCGATTATTGCGTGCTTCAGAACTTTCGAAGTTCAAAGCTGCAGGGGCTGATAGTCGATTGTCACTAAGGTGATAATCGATTATCACCCAACTAAAGTCTAGCTAGCTGAAACCCGTTTTGAAAAACCGAGGTCCAAAAATGAAGTGTTCCCAAAAGTAAAAACCAGGTTTGGAAAATATTGTATATGGTATTAAATAGTGAAAACAAGACTTGTTTGGTAAAAACCAAGTCTCCAAGGTCGTATAATACGTACGTACGGTTTAGACCGTTTTTCACGTATTAGACCGATTGACCAAGATACAAAAGTGGTTTTTATAAAATAATTATTTGGAAACATTTTAAAAATACTCAAAGGTAAAAACAGGGTTTAAAATATTGAAAACCACGGAGTTGGTTCGGGCGCCAAAAACCGAATGCCGAAAGCCGAACGTTGAAAGCCGAACGCCGAAAACCGAACGCCGAAAGCCGAACGCCGACTTAGGTGGTTTTGGTTCTGAGTAAGGACCAGGGATTTTAACAATAAAAGAAATCATCAAAAATGTTTGTTTTGATGCACAAAAAAATATTTTATGGATTGTAAAAATTGTTTTGACTTTTTGTGAACCGAGACTTGAATATATTGTCGGTTTTGATCACAAAAGACCGACTCGACTAAGTCTTCAATTCTTGATCTTGTCCTTGAGTCTTTTAGGTCTTGTTCCAAGCCATTCTTCACGCCTTGAGTTATTCAACGAAACTCTTTATATCCGCGGCGGTTTGGCAATTATCAAAACCTGTCAGAAATGAACACGACTTTAGTTTATCATACAAAGTGTGTTCCAACACTTGTCTCCAGTCCCTTATCTATCTCTAGTCCCTCTTCTGTCACGAGTCAGTCCCCACCTCCCTCTTTTTTGCCATCTCTAACTTTGGTGGATAACAGAAGCACCGCCACTCCCTTATCTTCCTCACTACAAGAAAACTCATTGCCATCCATTGTCCAAATGTCGTTGCCTCCTCGTATCTGTTGTATCCCATCACATCTCAATGATTATGTTCTTCATTCTGCAAAGATAGACATTCCGTGTTCCTCATCCTCTGGTTTATCTTCGTCTGGTACTCGGTTTCCTATTACTAACTTTGTTCTATATAATAAGTTACATGACAAGTACAAAGGGTTTCTCTGTGCTATTGCCGCTTCTCTACTGCCTCATAATTTTCGTGAGGCTGTTCATTATGCTTCATGGCGTGATGCTATGGCTGAGGAGTTCAATGATCGGGGGTATTTTGCAAGTATACAAAAGCCTGATGTAGTAATAAAACCGGTAAGACCGGGTCGATTTCCACAGGGACTTGGCAATTAAGTTGTGCTTTAAAGAGGTGTGTGAAGGAGTGTAAAAACGCAGAAAATTAGAGCAAGAGATGAGGCAGCGAGGAGTTCAGGACTAGCCAATTATAATATATACTAAAGCTAAGAAACTTCATTCAACTATTGCAAGTGCGGAGTCACAAAGGTACCTCTTGTTCCGATTAAGGAAACAAACGGGTAATTGGCATCTTCGTGCAAGTACCGTTACGTCTTTCATACATCTAGAGCCAACCCCATTAACGCTCAAAACTTCAAAAAGGGGCACCGTCTAGGAGTTGGGTATATCTATATCCCAACTCGGCTAAACATCTATTCTTCTAGAGCACGGATTATGCTTCAACGCTAGTTCCATCATAAAATCCCAAAAATAACGCTAATCATATGTGGCTACCATAATCAAAGCACAATGATAACAAGAAGAATAAATTGCAATGATATTGAATAAAGAACCAAGTTCCAATAAAAATTACAATGGCATCGTCCCTAACCTTGGTGGAGGGATTTAGCCACAAAACATTATGTAAACAATCAAATACAACACAATGGAAAACATTACAAAGAAATAGGAGAAGAGATTACATGGAGCAAGCCGAAATTTGAGGTCGAATGTGGAACCCTAGCCCTCTCCTCTAAGCTTGAACAAGAACACAAAAGGGGTGGAGAAATTTGAGAGCAGAATAGTTGGGGGTGATGATGGATGTCCCAAAAACAAGGAATTAATCTCCAATTTATGGTCTTTCACCTCGTCGATTCTCCGCTGCAACGGAAATGTCGGGTGTTGTTTTGGAAAAGGAACGTGGCTAGACGATTTTAATTATCTGCAGGATAATGCGTAATCGGTCTCAAGTCAACCTTTCCCTTCGCCGGATTAGGGCTCAGTAGCTTTTTTTTGCGTCTTCAGAATGCTAATCCGGCCCAGGTCAAACTTACCCTTTGCCGGATTAGAGCTCAGTAGCCTTCTTGCGCCTTTATAATGCTAAACCGGCCCAGGTCAAACTTGCCCTTCGCCGGATTAGAGTTGTTCAAGACTTTTGGCACAATTTGCTTCCTAAATCGCCCGCTTTCCATTCGACATTCCGAAGTAAAGGTTTTGACGATTGATTAGCGCATCGAATCCCTTCGCATTTCCTTGAAATTTGTGTTCTTTCCAAATGTTTCTTCATTTTGCCACCCTTTTCACAAATTAACGTTTATTAGGTAGATACAATTATTGTTACTCTAAAACGTTATAGATTTGTGATTATAAAGTAAGGAAAAATAAGCAATGATTAAATCCCCCCACACTTAAGGGTTGCTTGTCCTCAAGCAATTTCATAATTACTTTTGGGGGTAAATTTTTGAAGAATTACAAAAGTTAAATTATCCAAAAATTATTCCTAAAAGAATTTAGAAATTTTATGCGATAAAGTCAAAAATAAGTGTGAAAAATTTTGAAAAAAAAAAATCAGGCCAAGCAAAGAACACCAAAAGTAAGGAAACACCCCCCCCCCCCACACACTTAAGACACATTGTCCTCAATGGGTGGCAAAAGGGTAAAAGAGAAAAAGTGGTTCTAACTTCCCTTGGCATGCGTTGTCCGAAAGCGCCTGCAATTTAATAAAACTTCACAAAGAAAAATTTCAGACAATAACTGTAAATAAAGTTAATGTGAAACAAGAGTAGCTTCAAGGATTTCCATTTTCTCCGTCATTGGTGTCTTGTCGTCGTCCAGGCATATGCGGAATGTTTTGGGAGTCACCCCAATAGCGTAAATAGTAGAGCATTTCGTCCATGTTCACTTCAACGTTACCCATGCGCTCTCTCAAGCCGTCGACCGCTATGTTCAATTGATGTATTGATTGTTGGATTGTATGTCGGGGCCTTGGACGATGGACTTCTGGGGGGGGCCTCATCATCCTCGTTGTCATGGCCATCATCATCATCGTTGGGAAAAACCTCATTCCGGTAATCAGCTGTGTGCTCTCCTTCCTCGAAATCGGGTGGGAAAATGATGATCTCTTCGTTGGGTTCCGGTGTGTGATGGAAACCGGGGTTGACAGTCCAAGTGCTTCCAATTCACGGATCCAGCTTAGTCCCAATTCACGGACACGCATGTCGGTGCATCCAAATTTAGTTTTCGTCGCCACAATGTTGTAGTTGTGATCATTGGCGACAAAACCGTTGCGATTGATTGTGTAGGTGAATGGTGCGCGCGGATCTTTGAGGTTCAAAAATTCCCGTAGATAGTCGAGTGTGAGAGTGATAGGGGTGCCGCAGACCGAGCTCTTCACAGTTCCGGATTTCTCTTCTTTGTTGAGGATGTTGGCGTAGAACTCCCGAACAAAGTCCGGAAAGTATTCGCCGGAAATAGTGAGCATTCTCTCCCATCCCACCGAGCGGAAAGCCTCGGTAAGACAGAAGACACGATCGATATCCGGGTGTATAGTCTTCTCCACGTCTAGGTTCTTTTCTTTTCGTAGCTCATACAAACTCTTATGGGCTTTCTTTGTGAAATGTGCGGGTTGCCTAGAAGAGGAGTCATCATTGAGACGCTTTCGGGGTGCCATAGCCCTGCAAGAAATGTTGTTGAAATTAGTTGGGACCGAATGGAACCCCTATAATTCCTAGAAAAATTTGGCATGCCCTCCCCGTAAATTGATGAAAAACCCAAAGATGATTGGTAAATATAGTAATCACAACCCCAATACTCAACTTCTTGATAAGAAAAAATAAACAATTCAATCAAGCGGAGTCAAATTTTCGCACAAAGGGGAAACGGGGCTAGGGTTTTTGTGATTTTCAAATTCAACAAATTGGGGCTCAAAAACATGAAATTGGCAATCAACATGCATTAATAAACAACAATTAACAACTAAATTTTCTTGCAAGCACACAAGAACAAGAAATTGAAGGAGAATTTAGAAAAGGGTTCGAAATTGGAGGGG